GGGGGTTAAGAAAACAGAGCACTCCTACTTCTCGAGTAGTCCTTGTGATTTTTATGTTAGAATAGGTTGGGGAGGTGATTAAGTGCCACTTCTTTTGTTTGTTTTTGTATTAGAGTTTGAACCCAGGGCTGCTTTACCACTGAACTATATATATCCCCTGTTTTTCATTTTTGAGACAGGGTCTTGCCAAGTTGCTGAGTCTGGCCTCAAACTTGTGACCCTCCAGGTTTGGTCTCCTGAATTGCTGGGATTACAGCTATACAGTTGCCACCACAGCCTGGCTTCGTCAATTCCTTTTTTAAATTATGCTGTATGTGTATGAACGTTCTTGCCCGAGACCAGGAGGGGACCCTGAATATCCTCACAGCTCTAACCTACCCTGTCATCAAACTCCCTCCAGCTCCCAAAGCAGAAGAGTGTCAGTGTGGCCTGTTGACAGGGAAGGAAGCAATTACTTCTGACCACAGAGGAGCTAAATTAGTTGCTCAGACTGGTTTCTTAGATCTCTGGGTAGCATGCATCATGGCAGAAATGGAGTAGCACAGGCAAAGGGGTGGCAGAGGTGAATGGTGAGCTCAGGTGGTGCATTTTGTAGGTTCTAGCAGAGTTAAGTCCTGCTTCCTGCATCAGTGCAAAGAGGGCCAGCACTCACCCTGACATTTCAGCCTGAGGAAGATGTCAGGCTGTGGGCTGATGTGAAAACAAGGTCACTCCTAGGGAAACTCCTCCATCTGTGTAGCAGTCACTCTTCTTGTCCCCTCTCCCAGGCTCGGCCTATACTACTTGGCCAGATTCCAATCTGGGCCATTTTGTGACTTAATGTTGGGATGGCTCCGGTCAAGAATGATGAAACTGATAACGGTAATAGCAGCAGATACTGAATGAGCTCTAGCCACCATTTACTCTCCCTGGATCATCTCATGTAATCCTGTAACAAGGTTTCACTTGACTGTTGGCTCTATCTCTTGTGGCTTTGAAACTCCATGTTTCTTTTTCGTTTTTCCCAACCTTCTCCTCCCTGAGCTTCTTTTCCCTAACCTTCTTCTTCCTAATCTCCCTGATCTTCTTTGCTTTTAGCAACAATTCTAAACATAATCCTAGACAGCAGGTACCAATAGTATAAGCAATCATTCATAAAAGCCAATTGCCAAGACCTTGAAGCTGCCAAACAGGGGATTAGGGTGGAAATCTGGGCCCCTCACCCTACTGCACGACCCTGCCTTACAAAAGAGGCTGGGGATATGTCTTTGGACATATGCTCCCATTACAGAGGTTTGGCAGTCAATATAACTCAGGTTTCAATTCTAGAACCATGGTTTGCACTGTATCTGGGTGATCTTCACAGGGGCTGAGAAAGAAACTGTAACATCTTTGGAAGAATCTGCCAAGCTTTTGTTTTTGCCAAGTTACAAGTGACAGGGCCATGGAAAGTCAGGCAGGTTAAGTGACCCTTCCCTGTCCCTCACAATGAGTGGACCAAAGGGCTCAGCTAGATACACCAGCCTTCTGTCCCTGAATTATCTGGAGGAAAAGGCTGACCAAAGGACAGGACTAGGCCATCTTACACAACTGGCTTTACCTTCCCACCTTCCCACCCAGTTCCTTCCTCCTCGAAGGGCCTTGGCAAGCCAGCTGGATTCCCTGCCACAGATGACGGGTAACCTGGGAAAGTCTCCATGTGAGTTCCAGCTGCCTTTCAACTATGAGCTTATAAGTAACAACACCTTTATTTATATAAGCAGAGGGATCTACTTCAAAGTCCCCAGGGTAAATATTGCTCAAGGAACATTTAGGTTCCTGAGACAGGGACCAGATCTGGATGGGTAAATCCAGCTTCTAGAGATATATTTTATTAATGAAAGGTTAAAGTCCCTTAGGGAAAAAAAAATCCTTCCTACCCTCAGGGAATATGATTCAGCAAATCTAATTTCAGTGGTAATTCAGGTGCAAGTGGTCTTCAGAAAATGCACTCTTTAAGAAATACTATTTAAAATGTAACGTTTAACCTTGTGACAAATCTCCATTCCACATTATATTTCTCTTGATCTTATCTTCCAAGCCCTGAAGGTAAGTTTCCTACTGGCAGGGACTCTGTCTAGTGTATTGCTGTAAAGAATACAGTAACTACTTGGGAAAAACACTCCAATATCTACTGAACCAGAACTGAACGCTCCATGTACCCTTTGGGGGCTCTATGGCTTGAACTCAGCTCCTAAGACCTTGAATTTCTCTGGGGAGGCTGTGATCCTCTCTCTAGGACTAGAGTGGCTCTGTACCCAACCAAGGCAATGGCAGAGATGCCAACATCTGTTCCCGCCTGATCCTGTGATTAATGAAGCCAGGCACCCAGCCCAAACTATGGGCTTCTTTCTCAATGGCTCTGCTTCAGAGTCACTGGCCAAGTTCTAGTCCATTTCCCCAGGCTGGAGTGGGCCAAGAAAACAGTCAAGTACATCAGAATGAGGAAGCCAGGGGCTTGCAGCCAATTCTCAGTGGAGGGTAAGGAGGTTCGCTTCACTACTATCACTGGGGCTCAAATCCAGTATGGCAAAGCTGTGCCACTTTTACCTGCACCTTCTAAATTAGGAAAGAGGCCTGTCACCCGTGGAATTTTATAGGAGAGGAAACTAATTTTAAAAGAACATGTGCTAAATGGGTGCTTTTCCAGTGGCATGTCCAACAGGGCAGCTGACATCTTATTGAAGTGACCTTGAGACCCAAATTGGCAAAGTCAAGCTGAAACCTCCGGATGAAGCTCTGCACTGGATAGGTACTGACTCCATGAAACGTGCACGACTTTCTGTTGTTGGTTGAAAAAAAAAGAGTGCCCAGTACTCTTGATTTGTAGAATAAAGGGAGAAAAGAACACATATAAACATTCACTTGTGTCTGACAGAATTCCTCCCGAAAGGTCAGAAGAGATCAACACTGATTTTCCTTCAGAAGGTTCCTAGGGGGACAAAAGTAGATGGGAGATGTTTCGCTGTACCTTTTAGTTTATAAAAAACCTGTAATTCCTGTAAAGAGGCTGAGGCAGGAGGATCACAAGTTCAAGGCCAGCCTCAGTCACTTAACAACGCTCTGGCTTAAAAAAAAAAAAAGGGTCTGGGGTGGGGGAGCTGGGGTTGTGGCTCAGCGGGTAGAGAGAGCACTCACCTTGCACTTGGGGTCAGGATTAAGACCCTGGGTTCAATCCTCAGCACCACATACAAAAATAAACAAGTGAATTAAAGGTGTTGTATCCAACTACAACTAAAAAATAAAGATCTGGGGTATAAGAGTGCTTGCCTACTATGTGTGAAGCTGTGGGTTTGATCCCCAGCACTATACACACACATACACAAAATGAGTAAATGAGCTCCTAATCAAATACAATACGAGGTTTAAAATTACTTTGGGGGATGGGGTATAACTCAAAGGTACAATATGTGCTTAGCATGGGATAGGCCCTGGGTTTATCTCCAGCACCAAAAATAAAAATTAAAAAGTAGTTTTCAGGGCTGGGGATATATAGTTTAGTTGGTAGAGTGTTTGCCTTGCATGCACAAGGCCCTGGGCTTGATCCCCAGCACCAAAAATAAATAAAATAAAATAAATAAATAGTTTTCAGACATTGATTTAGCATTTACTTAGCATTTTGGAGGGCACTAAGGTAGATGTTAGCCTTGAGCTGGGCAGGGAAGCTGGGTGGCACTGGCCTATAATCCTAGCTACTCAGGAAGCTGAGGTAGGAAGATCACAGTTTGAGGCCAGCCTCCCAACTTAGCAAGATTCTGCCTCTAAATAATTAAATAGGAACGGGGATGTAGCTCTGTGGGAAAACACCCCTGAGTTCAATCTCAAGTGGGGGAGGAAGGAGTAGAGACCAATAATTAAATCATTTCAGTGCATGGACAGAGATCAGCAATAGGGATTCAGAGAAAGTTCATCCTTTGATGGGATAGAAAAGTGGAAAACCAAGTTCAGGTTTCTTCAGAGAAGTATTTTTGTCTGTCTTAAAAAAGTAAGTCAGAGACCAAATACCATGTGCCCATGCCTGCAGCACTTCTAGAAGGCTGAACCGGGATGTGAGTCAGGCCACAGAAACACAGGTAAACAAACGCACTGAAAGGGAAAGGGCACAGTGACTCCAAATGATTCTGTACCACTCCCTCAGAAGTGGGAAGAGAAGTGTAGCAAAGATAAAGAGCTTGAAAATACCAAGGCTATATTCTGCCCCCTTTCCTCCCCATGCTCCTCTGCATTCACCCAAACACACCAAAGAATCACACCGCATGAGTTCGATAAAGGCTGCTACCAAGGAGCTGACACGTGTAAAGTAAGTGCAAGAGCGCCTTGCACATAGTGCTTTATAAAGGTTAAAGTCAAATCAAGCCCTGGAAATGCAAAGCTTTGCAAACATCTCCCCATAGAAGAACTCTCAAGGTCCCCGGGAAACAAGGCCCGTTGGAACTTGGATCTTCTTCCTGATGCCACGTTACTAAGATACTGGACGTTATCAGAAGCGGAGATGAGAACCATACCTTAATGGGCAGAGCTTGCCCCGCCAGAGACCCGAATAGCAAGCCCTCTGTGCTTCGGTTTGCCTAACATCAAAACTACACTAATTCTTGGGCCTCCTTCAATTCCTCGACCCAGGCGATCGGTAGGGAGAATTGAGAACGACCTCAGAATATTGCGCAAAACATCAGGGCGTGGTGAGCAGGTGGTTTCTGTGCGCTCGCCGCGCGGATACCTAGGCGCAGACAGGTGCCCATGGGCGCGCGGTGCCCTCGGTCTGCGTTGCCCCCGCGGGCACGAGGGCCCAGAGATTCCCAGGCTAGGACCTCGGTGCGGCCTCCCCTGGCGTGCAGTGCCCAGCCTGGCCCCGAGGTCGCCCACCCCGCCTCCCTGCGCGCGGTGCCCGGTGCCCACGCTGCTGCGGGGAGCGCAGCTCTAGACCGCCAGGGAAAGGGGCTTCCTGGAGGCGGAGCCCGCGCCGCCAGCCCGCCTCCGCTCACCAGTTCCCCGAGCCCACGATGCACACTTTCAGAGGTGCCGCTGCCATGGCCAGACCGGTCTGCAGCAGCCCAGACTGTGCCTCCCCGGCCGGCTGCCGGCCTCCACCCGCTCAGCCTCGCCTGCAGCAGCTCGCGGCGACCCGCCCTGCCTGCCTCTCCGCCAATAGACACGGCCACCCCTGCCCGAGCGCCGGGGGCCACAGATGACAGCCGGGGAAGACCCGCCCCGCCACTCCCAACAACCACTGCGCACGCCTGGCCCTGGCCTCCCAGCCCCGCTCCTGTGCAAGCGCACCCCTGCCCGAGGCATGTCGGGACTTGTAGTCCACACCACCGTCCACTGCGTGCCCCAGAACCGCCGCCTCCACCGCGCCACGTGCAGACCTGGGTCTTGGCGCAGAGACTTGCATGCCCAACTCTGGAGGCTGCCCTGCATCCCCTGCACGCTCCTTTCTGCCTACTCGGGAACAGCTGCCACTCTGCGATTGGACTCCAGAGAGACTGTTAGGTTGACTCTAAGGTTAACCCACGTGGACCAGAGCTCGAAGTGCTCACCTTTGCCTCACTTGTATACACAATGCACAGTTAGACCCCCCTGAACTTCTCAGCGAACTTGGATTATGGGGGGGGGGCTAGGCCCTTGGCTGGCCGGGTGGGGTGGGGGAGTACCCTCACCCACTTTAGAAGCACGACTTGACCCCCTCATTGCTTTACCGGGACCTGACTGGTCCTTGTTTGTGGTTGAAACCACACTTCTCTCCTCCCTGACAAATAGAATATTATTCAATCTGACCAAAGATTACAATTACACCTATATGGAGAATGCTAAACACTGTCAGAGGAGGACCAAGTAGTTTAAACCAGAGGTTCTTAAACTTTGCTGCAATAAATCCAAGAGCTTTAACAAATCCCCACACCTAGGCACCACCCCAGACTGATGAGATGGGATGTGGGCTTTCAAAAAAAAATTGGGGCAGGGGGTATGTACTCTGGATTAAATCCAGGGGTGCTTAACCACGAAACCACAAACACACACACATACACACACACACACCTTTTATGTTTTAGTTTGAGACAGAGTCTAAGTTGCTGAGGCTGGCTGTGCACTTGGGATCATCCTCAACCTCTGAGTTGCTGGGATTACAGATGCGGGCCACTGTACCCAGCCCATATTACAGTTCAAAAAGAGATTGAAAACAGCCCAGAGAGGTGGCGCATGCCTGTAATCCCAGCGACTAGGGAGGCAGAGGCAGGAGGATTGCGAGTTCAAAGCCATCCTCAGCAACTTAGGGAGTTGCTAAGCAACTCAGTGAGACCCTGTCTCTAATAAAATACAAAATAGGGATAGGATGTGACTCAGTGGCTGAGTGCCCCTTAGTTCAATCCCTGGTACCCTAAAACAAAAAGAGAGAGAGAGAGAAGAAATTGAAAATAGCAACAGTGATAGAGAACTTAAGAATAAAAGTGAAGCCAGATTTAAAGTTAGGTAGTCAGTGTAGTTAGATCTGGTCTAATATCGAGTGAAATCTAAAATGGAGGCCATGCTGAGAATGATTCCCGGAAAAACAGGACAACTCATGGAATGTTAATGAAGTCCCGAAAAGGCCTAGGCCAAAGTCCACCTCAAAGAAGTGTTAATGAACAGCCCCCAGCAGATTTGAAGATAGCCCATCCCAAGAAGTGATAATGAAGTCCTTCCTGCCCAGACTACTTCCTTGGCCCACCTGTGTCCCACCCCTTGGGCCTTTCAACCCACATTCCATCACCAAAACTCTAAAAAGGGGAGACAACCTCACTTCCAAGGATTCCACCTCTTGGGTCCCCTTCTTCCTTTGGGGGAAGTCTTTTCTGCTGTCCTTTAATAAACTTCTAATTTCTACTCTGACCTTGCCTCAGCGTGCTTCTTTGGTGTTATTCTTCAACATCGGGGAAGCAAGGACTTGTCACCTGTCAACAGCGGTAATAGAAGTATCAGTAGACACTGGCTATAGAAACTAATATTGCAGCACCTAGGAAAATACTAGGCCTTGGGGCTGCAGTTGTGGCTCAGCGGAAGAGTGCTCGCCCAGCACACGTGAGACCCTGGGTTTGATCCTCAACACTACATAAAAATAAGTAAAATAAAGGTATTGTGTCCAACTATAACTAAAAAATAAATATTGAAAAAAGAAAAATACTATGCCTATTTGTTTCCCAGAGGATTCACTGTCATTTTGTTTTCATCTTTACTTTACTCTGTGACTCTACCAAAAGACTGAGGCAGGAGGACTGCAAGTTCAAGGCCAGCCTCAGCAACTTAATGAGACCTTGTCTCAAAAAATAAAAAGGGCTGGGAATATAGCTGTGTGGTAGAGTGCCCTAAATTCAATTCCTAGTACCAGAAGGAAGAAAAAAAGGAAGGAAAGAATTATGTGTGTTGTTTATGCTATTTGTTTAAGAAAATAAAGGGAGCAGGTAAGACAGAGCATTCTCTCCACTTCTTTCTGATAGTTTGTTTCCTATCATTTGCACTAATGCAAAGACATATAGGGTTGATGGGAAAGATGGACTAGTTAAGCTTTATTCCCTTTGTATTTGTGTTACAAAACACACTTGTCAAATTAATGAAGTCATGCATTTGAGTAGTATAGTTGTAGTTGCAAAGATTTACACCTAATTGTTTATTTTTAACCTTTGCCTAAAAGTTTTATACCTTATATGGTAACTCTTACTCACAAACGTTACAATTACACCTATTTGAGAATGAGCAACCTGGTTATTCTGTGAACACATTCTGCCCAGCATAGACCTACAGTGTTTACTGATCACTTGATATGTACAACACTTTGTGCCAGAATAGGTATGGTAAGTCATTTGTTTTATAGATTAGTTACAGAGATTGGGGCTGGGAGTTTAGCTCAGTGGCAGATACTCCTGGTTTCAATAGCCAGTACCCCCACCAAAAAAAAAAAAAAAAGTTACAGAAATCAAGATGAAAGGGAATGTCTCAGCTTCCTTCCAGGTACGGCTTTTGCACTGGGAGTTCTCTCCCTATGGTGCACTTCTGTGTTCTATAAGTAAACATCCCAAGAGAAATGAAACTGGGGCTGGGGATGTGGCTCAGGCGTTAGGGTTCTTGCCTGGCATGCGTGCAGCCCGGGTTCGATCCTCAGCACCACATACAAACAAAGATGTGTGCCCACTGAAAACTAAAAAATAAATATTAAAAATTCTCTCTCACTCCTTCTCTCTCACTCTCTCTTTAAAAAAAAAAAAAAAAAGAGAGAAATGAAACTAAAATTGTCAGATTCTTAAGATTGGAGCTCCAAAATTGCCAAAACATTTTTGTCATGCTCTTTGGGTCAAGAGATTACAAAGCCCAGTTTATAAGGGAGGAGACGTAGGCCCTACTTCTCGGTAGGAAAAACGTCAAAGTACTTTGGGACCATGTTTTCAAATCGTCATACTCTGTAGCTCCATATTACATAGTGAGATTAAAAAATGACTTTCCAAAAGTCCAGTGGGGAGTCAGGACCAAGATTTTTGGATTTCATATCCTACATTCTTCCAACTATTTATTCATTTATTATATTCAACAGTTATTTTTTGAACACTTACTGTGTGCCAGTTACTATGCTAGGTCCCAGAGAAAGGCAAGATCTCTTCCTTCTTAAATGCTTACATTTAGAGGGAGACAGACCAGTTAACAGGAACTTACCCAAGACTGTGATAAATGCTGTTGGCTTGCACTGGCAACACAAAAGAGACCTTTGCCCAGATTTGAAGTTGCTCAAGGAAGGCAACTTGGATAAAGTAAGATCTGTTGATGCCTGAAGGAAAGAATGGTGCTATTTTGATAGTACCCTTTTTGCAATTTCATATGAAAGCATTAGTGTGGGCTAGCCTCAGCCCCGGTGGTTGCGTTGCTGATCCTGGAGAGAGGAGGTGAATATCAGTTTGGAGGCAGGTCATAATAAACTCAGTTTGTAGGTGAAGGGGTGGAGGAGCAGCAAAGGTCTGTTCCAGCAGAGGCAAGGTAAAGTCCAGAGACTACAAGAGAAAAGGAACTAAAAGGAGCTCAGTAAGTGGGGAGGGAAGAATGGAAGAGTGAAAGAGAATGAAGGAAAGGAGGAGAGAAATGAAAGCAGAGGGCTGGGGTTGTGGCTCAGCGGTACAGCGCTTGCCTCGCATGTGCGGGACCCTGGATTTGATCCTCAGCACCACATTTAAAAAAATAAATAAATAAGTGAAATAAAGGTATTGTGTCCAACTACAACTAAAAAATAAATATTTTTTAAAAGAAGAAATGAAAGCAGAAGAGTAGAAAGAGATGCCTAGTCATGATTCTCCTTATAAACCATAGTGAAGAATCAGAATTTAATTCTTCTTCTCCTCCTCCTCCTCCTCCTCCATCTTCTTTCTCCTCTTCTCCTTCTTCTTCCTCTTCCTCTGCTTTTTCTCCTCCTTCTCCTCCTCCTCCTTCTCCTTCTCCTCCTCCTTCTTCTTTTTGCACCACTGGAGATGGAACCCAAGGCCTTGTGCATACAAGGGAAGTAGGGAAATTCTCTCAACCACTGAGCTGCATCCCCAGCCCTTAAATTCTGAGAGCCAAGGAACCATAGGGAGCTGGATGGACATCATCTGTCTTTTGTCATGGGAAGAGTCCCCTGGATGAATGCCCGGGCAGAAGGCCAGGAGGCAGTGAGAACTAGGAGCCTGCTGCAGCCTTCTATAAGAGAGAGGATGATAACAGCTTAGACTGCAGTGGAGACTGCAGTGGAGACCGCAGTGGTGGGGACAGTGATGGGAAGGAGTGAGTGAAGCTTGGACATAGGTAGGAAGCAGGGAGATAAGACTTCTTTCTTTCTTGGTGGGAGAGAAGGATATGGGATGACTCCAGCTTTCAGGTGCAGGCAACTATTTGTGCATGATTTGCTAGAACAGGAAAACCCAGGAAGAGGAATAGATCTGGAGAGGAGAATAATGAGCTGGGTTCTCAACAATTAAAGTTGGAGGTATCCAAGGTCAAGTTCAAGGAGGCAGTTGTATACATCACTCCGGGTGGGACACATTTGTAATTCGTGGCAGCGGTGTACTTAGAAATTGCAAGTGGTCAGTGCCTAAAGCAATGCCTGAAGGAGAGGGCACAAGTAAATGTTGAATGAAAGTGATTGACATCATTCAGAGAGATGAATTAAGTAACAAAGGAGGACAAACCCAACAGGACTCTGAAATGAAATGAATATTAAAG